GGACATGGGGACACGGAGACATAGAGACACAGGGACACGGAGACACGGGGACAAAGGGACACGGGGACACGAGGGGCACGGGGGACATGGGGACACGGGGGACACGGGGACAAAGGGACATGGGGACACTGGGGACACAAAGACACTGGGACATGGGGGAAATGGGGGACATGGGGACATGGGGAAACAGGGGACACGGAGACACGGGGACACGGGGACAAAGGGACACGGGGACACGAGGGGCACAGGGGACATTGGGACATGGGGACACGGGGACATTGGGGACACAGGGACATGGGGACACGGGGACATTGGGGACACAGGGACATGGGGGCACGGGGGACACAAGGACACGGGGACATGGGGGACATGGGGGACATAGAGACACAGGGACAAAGGGACACGGGGACACGAGGGGCACGGGGGATATGGGGACAAGGCGACACGGGGGACACGGGGACACGAGAACAGGGGGACATTGGGACACAGGGACACAGGGATATGGGGGACACAGGGACACGGAGGACACAAGGACACGGGGGACACAAGGACACGGGGACACGGGAGCCACTCCGTTTAAAATGTTACGAAACGTCCCCCGCATCCCCGCGCTGCGGAGTGAAGATTTAGCGAGAGCGGCTCCTGATCCAGATGAGATGGGGCATCACAAAGGGCTTTGTGTTCCAGGAAGCCCATTAGGGGTTTAAATTATACAAATGGGCTTTTTACCGAACATCCTCATTATCTGGGTATTTGCTTTTAATCCCCGGCGATTCCCGCAGCCCCTGCCCCGCTCACCTTCCCGGTGCCCTCCGCGGGGCCAGGCCTGGGGACAGGGACAGGGACAGGGGTTAGGGACAGGGACAGGGACAGGGACAGGGTTAGGGACAGGGACAGGGGTTAGGGGACAATGATAGGGACAGGGAGTGTCCCTTCCCGGGGTGTCCCCTCCTAGGATGTCCCCTCCCGGGGTGTCCCCTCCCGGGGTCTCTCTTCCCGGGGTGTCTCTTTCCACGATGTCCCCTCCCGGTGTCCCCTCCCGGTGTCCCCTGCAGCCCCACCCCACCCTGCTCTGCCGCAGCCAAGCCTCGGGGGCTTCACGGCTGCCATGGCAACGCAGGAAATTCCCACCGAAATCCCTGCAGGGAGGAGGAGGAGGAGGAAAAAAACCAGGAGGAAAAGGAGCGGGAACTCCCAGGCAGGCATCACAGCACCCCGCTCTGTCCCCAGCAGCTTGGGGACGATGCCACAGTGGCGCTTGTGGCCACTTCAGCCCCTCCTGGCAGCAGGACCCGGCCCGGAGCAGCCCTGGCACCCCCAGGGCACCACGAGCTGCTGCCCACCCCCTGCCAGGCGTGCTGCAGGGGTACCAGCCATAAACCCACGACATTTTTGGGGTGGAGGGGGTGGGAGCCAGGCAGGATGAGCTGGTGGGGGTTGCCCCCCATGTGCCAGGGACCCTGTGAACCCCCGGGGGTTTGATGTCCCTGCCCGTGCCCCCCTCCTGGGCATTATCCTCCCTCTCCCTCCTGCAATCCCTGCCAGCTCGGGGATTAGGTGGGTTTAGGGTCGGGTTGGAGTCGGAAATGGGATGCTTTCAAATCAGCCTGCGTCAGTTCTGCCTCTGTCACTCATGCCCGGGGGGATTAAAATAGATATGAAGATTATCAGAGGGGGGGTGGCACCCCCACCTCGGGGCCCCCCAGCCCTGGCACTGCTGTCCATGGGGTGCTCAGCTCCAGCCCCCCAGGGTCTCTTCCCAAAGGCACAAATCTCCTTTTTCCTCTCCTTTCTGCTCACACCCCATCCCACTCCCCTTCCCAAATCTCTTTCTACAACAAGAGAGGAGAAATCACCCCTGCAGCACCTCCCCTCCTCAGTTCCCGTGTTTCCAGCCCAATCCCATTCCCAAAACGCTCCACTGGGCTGGATCCCAGTGCACAACCCTCGACGTGGAGCTCAGGGAGGATTCCCAGGTTTCTGAGTGGGAGTTTCTCATTCCTGTGGTGTGTGAACTCCCTGTGCTCCTCAGGGCATGGGCTGCTCCAGCTCTCCCCCTCTCTTTGGTCCAGAGCTGTTCCAAAGCACATCCCTGGGCTTTGGGTGCTATGCCAGGACTGCTCCCCGTCCCCTGCCCTGCTTCAGCCTGCACTTTGGGGCCTGCAGGTGCCAGGTCTCCCTCAGTGGGTGCCCAAATCCCCTCAGCCTCACTGATCACAGCCTGGCTTGGGCTCTAAGGGACCTTAAACTCACCCAGTGCCACCCCAGCCATGGCAGGGCCACCTTCTGCTATCCCAGGCTGCTCCAAACCCCATCCAACCCAGCCTTGGACACTTCCAGTGAGGCTCAGCCATGCTTTTTTAATGCCCAAGAGATTTTGGGGTGAATTAGCCCATGCTGGCTCCTTCCCCCCAACTCCCCATCGTGGAGCAGCCACCCCAGCACATCCCTGCTGCCCCAGGCCAGCGGTGGGGCCTGCATTTAATCCCTTGGTGCATTTTTGTTTGTGTAATTCCAAGGAGAGTGGCTCTTCCTCCCGTCTGCCCCTGCCATCTGCTGCCAGGGTCACCCCAGAGGGAGCCTGGGAGCCCTGCTGGGGCTGGCACCTCCTCAGGGACAGCATCTGTCCCCTCTGGAGCCTCTTCAGGGCTCTGAAAGACACTCTGCTCCTTGCTGGAGCCACTGGGGAGGCTCTGCTACCCTCGAGAGGATCCTGGGGACACCCAGACCAAAATGTCCCATTTTAGCCCCAAAAAAGCCAGGCCTGGCAGCTTTTGAGGCCAGTGGAGACTGTGTGTGCCAGTTCTCCCAGTGCTCCCAAAGCTCCCAGTTCTCCCAGTGCTTCCAGTGGTCCCAGTGCCCTCCCAGTGCTCCCAGTGCTCCCAAAGCTCCCAGTTCTCCCAGTTCTCCCAGTGCTCCCAGTGTCCCCAGAGCTCTCAGTCCCCCAAGATTTCTCAGTGTTCCCAGTGCCCAAAGACCTTCCAGTCCATCCAGTGCTCCTTCCCAGTGTTCCCATTGCCTGAATACTTCCCAGTGCTCCCAGAGCTCTCAGCCTTCCCATTCCCCAAGACCTTCCTGTTCTCCCAGTGTTCCCAATGCCTGAAACCCTCCCAGTGCTCCGAGTGCCTGGAAACTTCCCAGTGCTCCCAGTGTTCCCAGTGCTTGGAAACCTCCCAGTGTTCCCAGTATTCCCAGTGCTCCCATTCCCCAGTGCTCCCATTCCCCAGTATTCCCCAGTGCTCCCATTCCCCGTGCCCCCAGAGCCCTTCCAACCCCTTACAGGGGCTGCACCCCGAGCTCTCCTGCGTGAGGTGGAGTCCCGGGGGGTGCGCGGTGTCCTGGGGGGTCCCGGGGGATGCTGCCGGTGCCCCCCGGTGCCGGTGCCGGTGCCCCTCTGGTGCCGGTGCCGGTGCCCCCGGTGCCGCTGCCCCCCGGTGCCTGTGCCCCCCGGCGCCGGTGCCGCTGCTCCCCCGGTGCTCGGGGGATGCTGTCGGTGCCCCCCGGTGCCGGTGCCGCTGCCCCCCGGTGCCGGTGCCGGTGCCCCTCTGGTGCCGGTGCCGGTGCCCCCGGTGCCGCTGCCCCCCGGTGCCTGTGCCCCCCGGCGCCGGTGCCGCTGCTCCCCCGGTGCTGGTGCCCCCCCTCTCCCGGCGCTGCGGCGGGCGCTCCCGGCGGGCGCTCCCGGGCTGCGTTGGCGGTGGCGGCGGCGACAGCGGCCGTGTCCGGGCAGGTAGGAGGTGGCGGGGACAAGGGGCCCGGGGGGGACACGCACACACACGAGCGGGGGGCGCTGAGGAGCCGCAGAGCCCGGGGCACCGGCACGGACCCAGCCCGGGCATGTCCGGCAGAGCCGCCCCCGCCCCGCCGAGTCTTTCGGGGGTGCCCGGGGTCCCCCTCGGTCTCCGACGCTTCTTTTGGGGGTGTCCCGGCAATCCGAGCGTGTCCGGTCTGGGGGGAGTCCCCCGGAGCCCTCCCAGCCCCGGAGAGGATTCCCTGGGGGTGCCCAGCCGCCCCTCCCGAGGTGCCCGCTTTGGGGGGGTCCTTGCAGAGCCCTCTCGGGGTGCTGAGCCCCCCACGGGTTCCCTCCCCAGCGGTGGGGGCTGCCCCGGGCAGTGGGGAGGGGTCACAGACCCCGGGGGGACAAAACCGGGGACCCCTGAGTGGGGTGGGGACACGCAGATCCTTCCTCGGGCTGCTGGAGCCTGGGGGGGAGGAGGATGAAGAGACCCTGTGGGGTCCCAGCCCCCCGAAACTGGGGGGTCCAGGTTGCTCCTCCTGGGGAGTCCCGTTTGCCCTGAGATCCGAAGGAATCTCTGGGGTTTTGGGGGTGCTGGGGGCCTCTCCCTGCTCTGGATAAGGCAGCTCCAGGCACTGAAGCCCCCACTGCACCCCGGGCACCCCAGGACGGTGGCAGTGGCACAAGGTCACCACGGAGTCCCCAGGCTGCGTGCTGGACTCTCCCTTGGTGAGCTCCTCCTTGCTGGGCTGGGGGCACCGTGGGGCAGGCACAGAGCCCCGGGCAGGTCCCTGCCACCCCCAGCCCTTCCTGGGGCTCCAGTGCCCGCCGGAGGCATCAAATATGAACGGAGAGAGCGGAGGAGCTGGAAATAACCCTGCTCCGAGGGGATCCTCCGGGGGATCTGACCCAGATCCGGCCGGCCCAAAGCTGGGCTGGACCCAGAACCGCAGGCACGGCTCTGCCGGGGTTCCCTCCCCTCCTCGGGGCCGCTCTGCGCTGCTGATCCCACCTAAATATCACCTCTATATTATGCAAATGAGCTCGAAGGGCTTATTACGCAAACAGGAGGGGGCCGGCGCTGGGGGCTCCCCGGGGCTGGCCCCGACGGCTCAGAGCGGCCGGCGGGGATGGAGGGAGCAGCATCGGCGTCCGGGGGCTGCCAGCCAGCGCTGCCCCGTCCCTGTCCCCTTCTGTAGCGCACAGGGACCCCCCGAGCCCGGCCAGGACCCCCCTGTCCCCGCAGCGCTCGTCCCCCCGCAGCGCAATGGGGAAGCAGAACAGCAAACTCCGGCCGGAGATGCTCCAGGACCTGCGGGAAAACACGGAGTTCTCCGACCTGGAGCTGCAGGGCTGGTACAAGGGCTTCCTGAAGGACTGTCCCTCGGGCATGCTGGACGTGGAGGAGTTCAAGAAGATCTACGCCAACTTCTTCCCTTACGGGGACGCCTCCAAGTTCGCCGAGCACGTTTTCCGCACCTTCGACACCAACGGCGACGGCACCATCGACTTCAGGGAGTTCATCATCGCCCTGAGCGTCACCTCCCGCGGCAAGCTCGAGCAGAAGCTCATGTGGGCCTTCAGCATGTACGACCTGGATGGCAACGGCTACATCAGCCGGGAGGAGATGCTGGAGATCGTGCAGGTACCGGGCAGCCCCGCTCTGCCGCGGCTCCCGCCGCGCGCTGCCGGTGTCACCGCGGCGCCACCGCGGCTGTCGCCTCCCGGGGTGAGGGTGGGTTGGGGATTTCGTGCTGTGGGATCCCCGGGATGGGGTTTTGCAGTAGCAGGGATGAAGTTGTTGCTGTTGCAGATGTGGTTGCGGGGGTCGTTTTGTCCTGGAGCTGTTCTGAGTGGTTCCCTGCCTGGGGGTGTCCCTTTGTCACCTCATCCCGGGAGTCTCCCGCGCTGCCAGGGCGGGCAGTGTTGGCAAACAGGCAGGAGACGCTGTCCTTGCCCAAATCCCATCCCGGTGATTCTCATGGCCACTGCAGTGGCATCCCGGTGGCCAAACCCTCCCTGCAGGAGCAGCTCCAGGCCTGGCTGTGCTGGGAGCTGCAGGAGCCACAGCCTGATCCCATTCCCATTTATCCCCATTCCCAGGGAAGCAAAGCCCGGAGCTCTGTCCCTGTCGCAGGTGGGCAATGCCAGGAGCCCACCCTCACCCTCTCTCCTTCCCCCAGGCCATCTACAAAATGGTCTCCTCTGTCATGAACATGCCTGAAGACGAATCCACCCCGGAGAAAAGGACGGACAAAATCTTCCGACAGATGGATACTAATAACGATGGTAAATGAGAGGAGCTGCAGGGGATTAGGGAGGGGTCTCATGGCTAAATCCTGGGCTCTCAGAAGGAGCTGATTAAACGGCTCGTGGCCTCGCTCAGGAGGGGCTCAGGGCGCTGGGCACCCCAGGGTGCTCCTCCCAGGTGGGGAGGGGGGTCCATGGGCTGCTCTGGGTGGTCTCAGGCGCTGGGAGATGGCTGAGCTGTGTCCCCTTCCCCGCAGGGAAGCTCTCTCTGGAGGAGTTCATCAGAGGGGCCAAGAGCGACCCGTCCATCGTGCGCCTGCTGCAGTGTGACCCCAGCGGGGCCATGCAGTTCTGAGCCCCACAGACCCCCAGAGCCCCCCCTGCCACCCCCCACCCTGCAGATGTCACTGTCCCTTGCCCAGCTCCTGTAGTCCCCGCTGTGCCCCCACAGCCCCTGGTGGGATGAGAGCTGGAGCTTGGCTAACATTGGGGTGAGGGGGGCCCTGGGGACAGTCCCCATCCCTGGGGGGCTCCTGCACTGGTGGGAGGGTGAGGCAGGGTCTGCCCTGAGTGAGGACAGTCCCCCCCAGCACCGGGGCTTGGAGCAGGGGGGGACAGGCTGGTGGCCAAGCCACTGCTCAGGTGTGGGGACACAGCCCAGGGGACAAAGCCCTGGTGGCTGGGGGGTCCCCAGCACCCAGCCCCACGTGGAGACACCACCACAGGCAGCCCCTTCCCCACGGAGGGGGGTCTGTGCTTCTGGGCTTTAATACCTGCAGAATAAAGTTTGTGTCAGTGCAGTCCGTGCTGGGAAAGGGGACACGGAACCCCTGGGGAAGTTCCTCCCTGCAGGGTCTGGATCCAGGATTTCATCCCTCACTGCAGCCCCAGGGATGGGCTGGTGTTCCAGGGGATGTGTCCACACATCCTGGGAGGCAGCTGAGTCCTGTCCTGGGGCTGTGCTGGTGCCAGAACGGGGCAGGAACGGCCAGGACACATCCACAGGGTCATTTATCCCTCAGAGCCGGGCAGTTTCTCCGCTGTCCAGTCTCAGCAAGCCCAGGCACTGCCCGGGGCCGGGGCTCTCCACTGGGGCTGCCTGCAGAGAGACCTGGAAGCCAGAGAGAAGGATGAGAATGGGAGCATTGAGGGGTGGAAGCATCAAATCCACAAGTCACCCCTGGGCCCAGCCAGGTCTGCCCCAGCCCTGCAGGGGAGGGGTGGGAGCTGAGGCCAGGAACCAGGAATCACCTTCATCCGGAGCATCCCGTGGCAGCAGCGGCCGAGGCGCAGCAGCTCCAGGGTGAGCAGGAGGCAGCGGGTGCTGAAGAAGATCCCCATGGCCTCCAGCAGGAGGGAGATGACCCAGAGGGACAGCGTGGAGCTCTGGGAGGCAGCGGGGAGCATCAGCCCCCTGCACATCCTCCCCTTGCCCGGCACATCCCATCCCCACCCCACGGGGCACTCACATAGACGCGGGTGGGGTCGAAGGGACACTCGGGGGACACCGGGGCGAGGGCGGTGCTGGAGATGGAGCAGGGGGCCAGCAGCACCCGGCCCTGGTTGCCCAGGGTGAGGCCGATGGCCACGAGCAGCCCCAGCAGGCAGCACAGGCAGCACAGGCTGCTGCAGGCGCTCAGGGCCAGCAGCGCCCATTTCTGCAGGAGAGAGAGGAGAGGCAGCACGGGGATGTCCCCTGGGCATGTCCCCTCCCCAGGAGGGACCCCAGAGAGGGGCTGTGGGGGCTGTGCAGCTCCCTGGGAGGGGGCTGGGGGTGCTTACGAGGGCAGCAGGGCCGAGGTAACGGGAGAGCAGCAGGGCAGACACTGCACAGGAGATGGTCTGCGGGAAGCACAGGGGGGTCAGCGAGGAGCAGCCCCTGCCCCAGGGACACCGGGCACCTTTCCCTGCTGCTGCTGTCCCTGGGAGCTCATCCAGGGGCAGCGCTTCACCTCCCACAGCCTCACCCAGCAACGAGCCCCGGAGCGTTGAATTCCCCAGGGAAAGGTTTGTTTCGGGTGGGGAAGGGGAGACAGAGCAGTGTCCATCCTGCATCCCACCTCCTTCCCACCCTGCATCCCTCCTCCATCCCTCCCTCACCCCAACCCCTCCCCACGTCCCCGCCGTGTCCCCAGCCCCGTTGCCGGTGGTACCAGCAGTGCAGCGATGACAGAGGCGCTGTTGGTGACACCGTAGTGCAGGGAGGTGGCGTCGCGGGCGGTGACCACGAAGCGCAGGACGGTGCCGTGGACGAGAGCCCCGGTGATGAAGTTGAGGTGCCCGACGATGAGGAGGATGAGCCCCGTTTTCATCAGCACCTTTCGGTGGCTGCTGGGATCCAGGTGGCCTGAGACGAGGGGAGAGGAGGGTGTGGGGTGGCCAGCACCTGGCACAAGAATGGGACATTTGGGGACAAACCCAGAGGACGTGGGCCGTGCTGGCAGGGGGATGAGGCAGGAGGTGATGTGGAAGCCCAGGTATGCAGACCACTGGTCCAGCCAGCTCTCCTGGGACTGGTGGTGCCAGCGGCCATGGGGACAGGGTCCCTGTGGGGCTGGGAAGAGCTGGGGCTCCTCGGAGTGACGAGGAAGCTCCGGGAGAGCAGCTGGCCCCAAACGGCAGCTCCAGGGCTGGGCTTGGCAGCCAGCACTTCGAGGGGTGACCGTGGGGCTGCTCCCCCTCTGGAGCCCACCCTCACACAGCCATCACCACCGGTGCTCAGCCCAGCTCCTCCCCTGACCGATCCGAGTCCTCAGCTCCTCTCCCTCCCTCCCTGCCTCAGTTTCCCTGCAGAGGGCAGAGACGGAGCCCTCCTGTTGTGATCCCCACCCAGAGCCGGACTCACCCACTCGGCACATCTTCACCGGGCCACGATCAGCCCATCAGAGCCCCTCGATGCCCCGGGGGGCTGCCCTGGCCCTGCCCTCAGCCCCCGGCCCCATCGGGTCTGGGCAGGACCAGGACACCGGGGCCACCCGGAGCCACCCGCCTGCTGCTCCGGTTCCTGTCAGACCAGCTCCCCGGGACAAAGGGATAACTCCACCTTTTCCTGCGTGTCCCACCCCTGCCCTCCCCTTGCTGCCAAGCCCTCAGTTTTGCCGTGACATGCCGTGCCGTGCCGTGCCATGCCAATTCACCATTCCAGGCTTCCTCATCCCCCTCCCCACCCATCCCCACCCCCCCAGCTGTGGCAGCAGGCTGGGATCCAGCCAGGCAGGTCCCCAAAGGCTGAGGGTCTGGGAAGGGGCACTGGGGACACGGCCAGGCCACAGGGCACTGAGCAGCACTGCCAGGGACTGCCCTGCAGGGACAGGGCAAAGCAGAGGGGTCAGGGCGGGTGGGGACTTGGCCAAATGGTGACTCAGAGGAGCTGGTTTGGTGGCCATTGCCTTCAGGGAGCTTCCAGGGAAATTCCAGGGACAGGGACAGGAGGAGCCCCCAGCTCAGCTCACACGGAGGGGCTGGGGGGTGTTTTAACACAAACTCTGGTTCCTGGCACTGCACTGTCCCCAACGTCCCACCTGAGCCACTGCTCTCAGCATCCTCAGCTCCCACACACCCACAATGCTGGAGATTTGCCTTTTTTTCCCCATTCTTCTCCTCCTTTCACCTGTACCCAGCCCTGGTGCACAGGGAGGGGAGAAGAGACTCTGCCCAAGCCTTTGGGAACAGCATTCACGCGGACAAAGGCAGCTGGAAGATTTCCCTGCAGCTTTGGAAAGGATGAGCTGGATTCAGGTCCAATGACAACCAGAGTCTTTATTCCAAGAGTCCCTTAGGATGGTTGCAGACATACAGACACACGTACATATTTACACTCTTACACACCTCACAGAGTTTGAACCAATAAATTAAAACAAAAAGAGGGCGAAGGGGATTTTTTTTTTCTTTGCTTTTTTTTTTTTTTTTTTTTTTTGGTTGCTTTTTTCCTGTGTCACGTAAGAAACAACAACTCCCCGAGGCAAGGCTGGGGGAGCCAGCTGGAGGATGGCAAACAGAAGCCAACAGGGACACAACCCTGGCCCAGAAGCTGCAGTGACAGGGATGGTGCTCAGGTCACACTCTGGCTTCGATGCATTCCAGCTGGACCATCTCATCCAGCCGGCAGCCCTCGGCTTGGGCACAGTGGCTCAGGTGGGCACTTGGGCTCTGGGCACCTCTTGCTCTGGGGGTGTGTGGGCAGCCTGCTGCAGTCTGGCACTGGGGGGACTCGCACTCGTCCGAGGTGATGTCGGGCACGTCGTCAGACTGGCTGTCCGAGCTCTCCAGGTCGCTGCGGATGCTCTCGGGCTGGGCCAGGGTGATGTCCCACGTCTGGCTGGCAATGCAGTCCTTTTGCTCACAGCTTTGGTGTTTGCACGTCTGCTCCTGCTTGTCATCCTCCTCCTCTTCCTCTTCCTCCTCCTCTTCTTCTTCCTCGTTCTCTGCCATTTGGGTGTGGACGTGCAGGGAGTCCTCTGTGCTGCTGCCGCTGGTCAGCTGGTAGTGACTGGGTTTGGCTTCGATGTCCACCTGGATCTCCATGTTATTGCACTCCCTGCAGGACAGGAACAACCACCCTCACGTTACTGGGTTTAACTGGGCTGTACTGGGAGGATCACACCCCCCCAAACACCAGCAAGATGCTGCTCATCACCCCAGGACTCGCTGCTCTCCTTGAATCCTCCCAACAGAGCCAAGATCACCCCCAGGCTGGGCTGGGAAAGCTCCAGAGCCCCCTCAAAGTGCCAGAACAGCCCTTGAGGGTGCTGGGCTGCAGATCCCCTCCCCAGCCTCCACACCACACATGGAGGCTGCTCCCAAACTGTCGCCAGCCCTCCTCCTGTGTTGGAGAAGGATGGATCCCTGGTGCAAACACAGCCATCCCACCACCCCCAGAGCCTGCATTTCTCCAGGACAGCCTCCACCAACGCTCCTCTCAGCTCTCCACGTCCTCCTACCTGTCCTGGGGGTTGTAGGAGCTGATGATGGAACCAGCCATGGCTCGGGTGCTGGCGTTGTCGCTGATGGCCCCCAAACTGACTGAGTCTTTGGGGAAAATCTCCTTCTGGACATCTGCCTGGACTTCCAGCCTGCAGGAAAGAAGAGGATTCCTCAGAAACGCTTCAGATGCTTTAGGAGCACCAACCCATCCCTGCTCCTCGTGGGAAAGCAAGAATCCCTGTGAGCTGGCCCAGCTCAATGTGACAGGAGTTTAACCCCAGTGGTTGCTCTCATTTAGTCTCATTTTTGGCTCCATTTAGGCAAATCCATTCGGTTTTCCATGACGGAGGTAAAGCCGTGTTTACATCCATGACTCACACGGTTCCTGCGAAGAGCTGATTTCCATGGATCTCGCACAGAGCTGTGATTACATCCTGGCTGCCACATCAACACGTGGCTCTAATTACCCAGAAAACTGACTCACAGGCAAG